TATTTGCTTTTGAAATTAACTTAATTTCACCAAGTAATATATGCTCCGAATACTGTTACTAGGGGAAAAAATTCTAAAAGCAAGAAAACACCATTAGTAAAATATTGATAACCCATTATCATATACTTCAGAATAATCTTTTTGAAATTACTATCACCATTAAATAAACTATATCAAATCAAAAGCAATTAGGAAACCGGTGACTCTTATTGAAACAAAAATAAATTAGACTACATAACACAAATACACATACACACACAGAGAGACATATACACAAAATAATGCAACCTATGGCATAAGGGGAAAAAAAGTTGCAGCACATAGCACCCCTTATTAAGTTTTCTCGTTCTGCAAAACGTGCAATTTCTTCCAAATCTACCAACTCATTGGTGTATAGATTAAACGAAGATCAAAGGACTGTGTGTCATTAATCACAGATAATGATTCCAAATAGTTGTTCACCAAACACAGGTTTTTTGAGAAGCATGCAAAAAATGCATCACACTTGTTACAAGTGTAGCTTCATCCAAGGAATCCACACCAGCCTCTCCATTTGTGTTCTCTTCTGTGTATACTTCAATCTTCAAAGCACTGACCTGAACAAAACCAGGATTCGCTTTCTAAAAAGAAGGCGTTTTGGAATCATAGCTTGAAACATACTTTACTAAGACCAACGTTATGATATTTTTTCTCCATGATTTTCTTCACTGGTTCTTCATCTTTGAAAGTAATGAAGCAAAATCCTCTGCGCTTATTGGTTTTGTTGTCCATAGGAAGTTCTATTGATTCCACCTGATCAATATACCAAATTAGATTGATAAGAGTCAGTTATTCTGTTATTCTACTTGTTACAAAGCTTAACAGTTATTTACTATTTGTTAATGTTAAGCAACCATTGTACCAAATAATCTGAAGAAACTTCCTATTAGTCCATTTACTGAGTTAGAATATGTTTATACTGCTGACCCTACATGAACTGTTATTTATTTATGAGAGTACACATAAAATTAGAAATTACCAAAATCCATATAAAATCCAGTCTCTCTTTATAAATCAGTATATCTATATACTCACTAAGAAAATATAGCTCTTAAGAATGTATAGTTGTTTCACCTTTACAGAAAAGATACTTGAAATTTGATTCATCTCTGGCAAAACTTACTACTGATACTTTAATTTAATTTGAAATGTTCTGTTCATATAATAGAATTGCTTCTACAATAAAATGAGTGCAATTCCCCCTCTTCATTTAACTCAGTGCTAAAACAGCTGTTGATTTTAGTGAAGTTGGCATTACCTCACAATTCCAGAAATGATCATCAATACAATTATGACACTCTAATCAGTGACAGATCAATGCTTAAATTGACTTCTGAGTGAAAAAAATAGGCATCCCAAGAAGCACTTGGTTTATAATTTAAGTTTATAAGCACTTGTGCCCTCCAATTGAAGACAAGATTAAAATTGGTATTTACATAAACAATTGTGAATCAAACAAACTGGCCAAACCAACACCCAAAACAAATACAGGTAGTCCTCGTCTTATAATAGTTCATTTAGTGACCGTTCAAAATTACAACGGCACTGAAAAAAGTGACTTACGACCATTTTTCACACTTATGACCTCATCCCTATTGTCACACGGTTAAAATTCAGACGTTTGGCAACTGACACATATTTATGATGGCTACAGTATCCCAGGTTCTGTAATCATCCTTTGTGATCTTCTGACAAGGAAAGTCAATGGGGAAGCCAGATTCACTTAACAACCATGTTACTAACAACTGCAGTGATTCACTTAACAACTGTGGAAAGAAAGGTCATAAAATGGGGCAAAATTCACTTAATTGACTCGCTTAGCAACAGAAATTTTGGGCTCAATTGTGGTCATAAATCAAGGGCTATTTGTATATACACATTCTTCTTCAAAAATACTGTACAATGATCTAAATAATTAAGAATTCTTTAACCAAGACACGAAAACAATTAACTCACCTCACCAAAACCTCCAAAATACTCCCTTATTTTCTCTTCTGGTGTATCTGGTGACAAGCCACCCACAAAGATCTTTTTGACGGGTTCTTTTGTTTTCATTGCTTTAGCTCTTTTAGGATCAATCACTTTGCCATTCAGTTTGTGCTCTTTCTGATCCATGACCTGAAAGCAATTTTTCTTTTTAAAGAAAAGCTTTACAAAATAAAACATATGTTTTTATGACTATAATGCCCTTATCTTATAATTTGTACTGTCTTGAAATTAACAGAACTTCAAGAACTTGCACAATATTTCCACTTTTTCATTACTGATTAGTGCTTGTCTATTTTTTCTGTTTATTAAACTTATATGCCACCCATCTCGCCTGGAGATGATTCTATGTAGCTTGTCTAATTAGAAATAAATAAAAACAAACTTACCTTTTCCACACTCTCAGATTCTTTGAACAGCACAAAGCCAAAGCCTCTTGACCGCCCTGTAATTGGGTCTAGCTTCAGAGTGCAATCTACTACTTCACCAAATTTTGTGAAGTAATCCTTAAGATCCTTCTTTGTAGTATCCCAGCTAAGGCCGCCGATGAACATTTTTCTGTAGACACAATTGAGTTTAAAGCTGTAAATTATCAACACTATATTTTAACTTAGCAGCGTATGTCACAAGTATACCAATTTGCCTTTAAAGGTTCCAAGATTACAAAAATGTTTAAAAACAAACTATCCGTGTTCACAATCACCTTCTGTGATCTAAATGCACTAGAAAAATGAAGTGTGTCTGGAATTTATTCCTTATGTTACATTTAATAGAAATAAGTCTACAGTACAGTAGCAGTGGCCACAAACATAAACCCTACAGATTCTAACCATTGAATCTTGGAAGGAGCCGATTCACACCAAATATCTTATTTTTCAAACTGCTCTAGCTAGAGGCTGATCTGCAAATAGAAACTGCCTGGTATTACTGCATGAAGATAAAATCAGCCAAAGAAAAGCCCCATATAAGTAGCATAAACCTAATTGCTGTCAAGGAGTCTGAAACTCTCTCAGAAGAGGTTACACATATAGTAATTTTTTTACTTAAATAGCAAAGTTTAATCATACTAGTGTCCCAACAGCAAAGCCCCCTTCCTTCCTCCATTCTGCTGACAGTCCAGGCTAACACCAACTCACTAGCCTAAAATACTTTCCACAGCTATACGCTTACCTACACAAGAGATAAAGTAGGGCTGCCACCTTGGCATGGAAGTGACCACGCAACTGGCTGGCTCTGCTTACATGTCATATCCAAGGCTGCTTTTACTCTATTGCAACAAAACAAAGTGTTGGGTGTCTTAGATCTTAGTGCAAACACAAGTGTTTTTATATGAATGCATATCAATAGCAAAATTTGCACCAAGTTTAAAAATACTAGTAACGGCAGTTTCAGTCTCTTGATTTTGAAAGTGAATATATCTTTGTTACTGTGGGAACTGTGTACAAACTGAACGTGACACAGAACATACTAATTAATCGTTATGAATTGTCAAGTTTTCAGAACTCACTGTCATGAATTATCTTTATAGTTCCATATGCTACAGCAAGGAAATTTTTTGTGTAATATTTTATCTATTTATATCTCCTATTTCTAAACCGCCCAATCTCCCTCAGAGATTTTTACACTGATATTACTCCTGTAAATCTTTGCCATATAAAGTACCTAACAGCAATTTCCAAAATGATAAGTAAGGACATGTTCAGCCACTCCCTACATAGCAATGCCAGAAAAGAAATTTATAATCAGGGAACTGAATGTACCACATATTCAAGTTTTCCAAACAGGCCAAAATGTGAGAAGGAGACTGAAATGTGAAGATATAAATACTGAAGAAAAAAACCATAATTATCTCTTCTTCAAAACAGCATACTGAATCTCACTTCTCTTCCCAGCCAAAGCCATGTAATTTTTTATCTTAAGTTTGCACCTTATACTTTAACACTTGCTTACTGCATGTGATGAAATGCAAATGTTGATAGAACGCCTCATATTTGGGCTGAATGAATTTCTGCATGAAAACATTAACTAATTTTCAGAAGTGGACATGCAAAAGGAACCAGCTGATGCATATTTAAGTTAAAATAAGCACATTTATTAGATAAATATGCATCTTTACAAAAGTTTAAAAACAAACTGGACCACCATTTGATTGGGATAGTATAAGATTCCAGCCTTGAGTAAGGAGCAAGACCAGAAGGCCCCTGAGGTCCCTTCCTATGATTCTATGATTCAAAGGCTGATAAGCAGATGCATGTTGTAAAACAGGGACCATGACTACACATCTGGCCACTGCAGCATCCCACAAAATTAAAATTTGGGATTTCTGATGAAGCATTGGGGATTTAAAACAGAGTCCCTGGCTTTGCAGAGGCTTAGGACAAAAGAAATCAGCTTAGAGAGAGGAGGGAACCAAGAGATTAAATTAGTATTTTTAGCCTCAGCAAGGCTTAATATCTCTCAACTGTTAAAAACCATTCCTAAAAGTGTGGTTTTTTTAAAAAAAAATTTATCTTAACCTATTCTAATAATGTAACATTTCCAACCATATCCTTGTGGTTCTACAAGCCAAACAATATTGTCTTCTCTCCCAAACCTTCACTAACTACCGGTATAAGTTTATTAAAGTCTTGGGGAAAAATTTCCAAGTGACAAATGTCCTAAACAAGCTATTGGTCTTCTTTATATTGTTAACAGTTCCAAATTGAATGGAAGAAGATTCTTCCTCTTTAAAGTAATCAATGTGCTAGTTATTTGTTTAAATATTTTTTCAAACACCTCAAAAAACCTGCACAAGACTGATGCACCATGATTGACTTGTCTATTTCAAATAAAACATGCAAACCATATGTAATACCAGAACTCCTTTTTAAAATAATGCACTAGTTTTGGCTGCATTAAAAGTTTTTTCCGAAACAACTCTGAAGTTGTGACAGACTAAAGTGGAAAAAAATCACTCAAACACAGGCAATTTTTATCACTAGAGATTTGCCTCTCTATTAAGATTCTGTTAACTGTTTTTAAAACTGAAAGTTTGAAATCCTCTGCTTTAAAAAATCAAATCTATATACCACACTGAATACAAACACAAAGCTTTCTTCTCAAATATCTGGATACCCTCCAGATATTTAACAGCCTATGTCAATCACAAAATCAAAATCTACATTAGAGTCTGTGTTCCATGTCAATGCCTTTCATGTGTTCTTTAATCTATATTTCACTTCAAAAACACATTCATATTCAATGCCCAAGCCTAAAACAAACTTGTCAGATTATTATCCCTAAAAGAAAGAAAAACTATGCAATTTCTCTGGTGCTACACTATTTCCCACAATATATTTTTGTAGCTGCATACATGGCCCTTTACCAATAAAAGAGAATTGTTGTTTTCACCCTGATGTTCTTTCCAACTATGTCACTGTAAAATACAAGTTACTCCAAATTAGATTTTGCGTCTTTGGGGGAGGGGGGAGGGGGGGAAGGGATATGAAATACAGGTAGACCTCGACTTACAACCACAATTGAGCCCAAGATTTCTGTTGGTAAGTGAGACATTTGTTAAATGAGCTTTGACCAATTTTACCTTTCTTGCCATAGTTAATCGAATCATTGCAGTTGTTAAGTGAAACTGGCTTCCCCATTCACTTTGCTTGTCAGGTTGCAAAAGATGATCAGATGACCCAAGGACACTGTAACCATTATAAAATTGAGTCAGTTTCAACTGTCTGAATTTCAATCGCATGGGGATGCTGCAACGTTTGTTAAGTATGTGAAAAATGGTCATAGATCTGTTTTTTCAGCAACATCATAACTTTGAACAGTCACTAAACGAACTGTCGAGGACGACCCCTAATCCACATGCCATTGCGCCAATTCAGATCACAAGCGTGTGATTTCGAACTACAGGCAGTCCTCAACTTACGACCACAACCGAGCTTAAATATTTATGTTGCTGAGAGAAATTTGTGGAGTTTTGCCCCATTTTTTACGACATTTTCCTTCCAAGTCGGCTAAGTGAATTCCCCACTTGTTTATCAGACCTTGGGTTAAGTGAATCTGGTTGGTCATAAAACGGGGAATCCCTGACACATGCCTGGTCATAAATGCGAATCAGCTGTCAAACATCCAGATGTAAATCACATGACGGGGACGACGCTGCAACCGGTCGTTCAGTGTGAAAAACAGTCGTGGGTCGCTTTTTTTCAGGGACCGTTGCAACTTCGGACACTGTTGTAAGTCGAGGACTGCCTGTAACTTCTGTCACCTCCTCCACCTTCCCTCAGGTTAGCCGTCTAAAACACAGAGCCAAAAGCGGTCCCTTGGGAGTTTCCACACTTTTTCCTGCTTCCCGGCCGGGGATGCCCGACCGCCCCGCGCCTCGGCGAGCTTCTTCCAAGGCTCTCTGGAAACCCTCGGAGAAGGGGAGGAGGGGGAGAAGGGCCGGCTTACGGGGGCGGAGGAGGGAAGAGGAAAGGAAGGAACGAAGGAAGGAAGGAAGGAACGAGTGGCGAGTTTCCTGCAAGAGGCGATCGCCTCAGCCGCCTGTCGTCTCCTCAGGACCGAAAACGAGGGTGGGGGGGGGGGGGGGGGGGGGGGGCCTTTCGTTTCCCCCCTCCCCCCCCTCGTTCTTGCTGGCGTCGATTTTGGCTCCCTCCGATTCGCTTGAGCCGCCGCCGCCGCCGCCTCCCCCTCCGCCTTCTCCTTCATCTCCTCCTCCTTCTTCTTCTTCGGCCTCTTCCATGCCGTCGCCGCCGGGAGCAACGATCCCTTCGAGCTGCTCGCTGTCTTCCGAAGCCTCCGCCAGCGCTTCATCTCCGGCGAACTGATCGTCCGACATGAGGCGAGGGGGGGAGCTATTTAAGAAAAAAAAAGGAGACTAGGCTGGCCGGTCTCGAAGGGGGAAAGAGGAATAAATAGGCCGCTGAAGGGGACGCCGCGGGAGGGAGGGAGGAAAAAAAAGCGAGGTTCTCCACGGGGAGGGAAAACGAAAGCTCCCGCTTATTTCCTCCTTTCTCGCACTTTTAATGGCGCCGCCTGGCTGACTCCGACCTAAAATGGCTGACGAGAAGAATGCGGCGGCGCGGTCACGTGAGCCCAGGGCCCCCGTTTCCTCGCGCGCATTTCCTTCCCCGCGCGCATCACGGAGGCGGATGGCTAGAGCGGCACCGCCTTCGCGCTGCGCTCCAGCAACGCCGCCTTTGGGGCCTTTCCTTTTTATTAGCACTATCTTGATTTGATAAATTGACTAGAAAAGCAAAAGCAAGGAGTTGATGTAAACACTGAGAATATTAAGTAAATGCTTTAAGGAAAATTGAATTCTTTTCTCATTTTATTTTGGGAAAAATGTATTGTTTGGCACAAATTATTTAAAATATTTTTATGCGTATCCATTCAATTTTGGTCATTTTATCTTATAAAGTTTACACCCCAAGATGGGACAAAGTTATCTTCCTGGGGACTCAAAGCTTTCTATACAAAAAATATATAATTTTTTATAAAAAATATAATTTTTTGTATGTATGTGTGTGCGTGTGTATATACATACACATACACACACACATATAAAACAAACTCCTGGCATCTTAGAAAAAGATCTGACAGACATTTACGACTTTCATAACAGTTCATACACCTATGGTAGTCATAAGGCACCCTCAAGAGAATCTACTTTCAGATGTTAACACATGAATATTTTTTTGGCATTCATCCATCCTTATCTTTAATAAAGACAAAAATAACACTGTCAAGAGTGGAAAGTTTTAATTGTTGATCAACTTTTATACTAATGCTTCATCTTCTGTAAGGCAAAGACTTGTAACTAATGGTAGAAAAGAATCCTCTTGGTTAACTTTAATCTTCAAAGCTTCCAACTCTTGTTTCCCTTAAACCCTACCCCCTTTTTGGGGTACTGTTTGAAATTTGTAGTTAAGATGTGGGGAATTGCAACCCGCAGTTTTTTTTAAGTTGCCATGGTTGAAAAACACTTCGATACATAAAAATAAAGGTTTTACATTCTGCCATTATGTGCATGCACACATGTGAGTCACTCACATATGGGTTCCAGAAAAGGCACCAGAAAATCACTGCTGTGCTGCAAAACTATCTTTCCAACTGATTCTTAAACAGCCACGTTACATTTTATAGTAGTTTAATACTTTTTTTTTCTCATTTTTTCCTGTCATCTTGTTTTACCAACTCTCCTAGAAAATTGATATACTGAGGCTTGGGCTTTTATTATCAAACATTTGATAATGAAGGCCAAGTCTCGGTATATAAATTTTTTAAGAGTGAATAAAACAGATGGCCCCAAAACAATGCTTCCAATTAAAATAAAAACATTACTGTTAACTGCCAAGCAGATAAAAATTCCCCTATTGAGCAGGTAACTGAAGACACTAAAATCCTGCAACTGTTTGGGCGTTTTAAAACACTGCTACAGTCCTTCACTATGAAGTGTTAAGGCATAAATATTTGTTCCAAACTTTCAATGTCAACCAATTTCCAAGACACATTTTAAATTGGGGGGGGGGGGGCAGCATTCAGGAAAATAAAGGTATTTGGAGATGTCATATTTAACAAACATTTTTTACAAAAAAACCTTAACTATTATCTGCGGCATTCATCAATACAGCACTTAAAACCATTGGAATAATTCTGAATTATCAGTGGCTGTAATTTGACCTTTCATTCCAAACCAGATTAATTTTGAACTATGAACCAAATCTTCTCATATTTTGGATGTTTTTATTCATACTTACAATATTGTATTTAAAAAAATAGCTTTCCTTTCAAAGTACGAGCAACACATTTAGCCTTTCCCGTTTTGTTCTGTGAATATCTTTATTTGCAATTAATCAGCCATGTATTGAAGTGAAAACTAATCAGCAAGAGTAAATATCAAGTTCATAGCTCTTTTCCTAAAAAAACATTTGCTTCAGAGATCATTCAATTAACTCTAAAACAAAACTCACCTGGGTCTCAAATGGGCAAAAATGAACTCAATAAAGCTGGTAAATACATTTTGTGATTTTGCTTTTTTTAATGGATCATAGCTCATGAAAGTGAAGTCCCTTTATGTCAAGCTCAAACCCTTATCTGTTGAATGCATCTATGGAACTTTCTTGAAACATGAAAATATAACTTTATTAACTTTTTCTTTACTTCCCAGTAAAGCCTTAAACTCTTAAGGTTTTCAAACTGTTGATCAGGTTCAACCAATTAGGGATTAGACAACATCCAGCCACTTGTTGCCATTTTCTGGTCAAAACAGTATAACATTAAAAAAGGTATAAAAATAAATCTTAAGCTTACAGACAAAATTAGCCTGAATGAGGTAGTTAAGTTTTGAAGGTGTTTATATTCTTAATGATAGTTTGATATGCAAACTTTCCCAAGTATGCTACATTTTTGTATAACAGACTTAATATCAACATTTTATCAAGACTGATAAAATCATGTTAAATTTTCTATTCAGGAAACTTCAAATTCATCTGATACAGGGTTTTTTTTGTGTAAAATCTTTCTGTTACTTATGCCTTAAGTAACATAATTTCTGCATAATTCAGGCTCTTATTTTTTTCTTTGCTGAAATATTTGCCCAGCTGAATTATTTAGATAATCTGCTTTTCAAAAAACATTTCAACAAAATTATAGTTAAAAAACAATCCTAATTGTGCTGTTTTCATAGTGATGATGTATTAATTATCCAGAAACACCCATTATCCTGCTTCCATAAATTGGTTTTGCAGTCATATTTTATCAGCATTATCTTTGCAGAAGGTTAGAAGTAACAAAAGGTTTCAGTGGCAATACATTCAGAATATATTCTCAAAAGAACGAGTTGTGAAAAAAAAGCTCAATTATTTATCAACATCTTACCAAAGTTGATGGCTACATAAATAAGGTTTGTGGTTCGCCTCTATTTACATGTGATCACAAAGTGGTCATTTCAATGCATGAAAATTTATTTATTAACATTTCTATACTGAAGATTCCCAGCAGTTAACAAGATTATAACAAATCATAAGGCATTACAACACAGGATACTACTCTTGAAAAATCATTCTATTTTTGCAGCCTCCTCTCACTGCAATATTCTACATCCAGGTACATATCCGTAACATGGCACACTCCAGTGCTGCTGACCTGCAAGTCCCAGCATCTGTCGGAAGCATGGCGACGAGTCTCAAAAACTGTTCACCTCTTCTACTATACACAGCAGTGCCAAGAGCACACCCTCTTCAAAATGCCAACAGTCACAGAAGGTAAGTTTTTTTTTATTTCAGTCATTCAACATGAAATACAAATAAAATTGTATAAACACAAGAACCACATTGGCATCGTAACACAGATGACAAAAAGACAAAAAAGTAAAAACCATAAAGAAAACTAGCCGGTCACTATGTACAGTTAAGACACTGCTGTGTCATACACTAAAAGTCTTTTACAAAACAATTTCATGTCACGAAGACTACCCTCCAGTCAAGTCCTTTTTAAGTTCTGCAAGATGGCTTTGCTGTAGTCTCTACCTATAAAACCAAGACAAAATAATTATGAGACCTGTGCAACGTTTAGAAGAATTTTTAAAAGGTCCATTTTCATGAACTGCTTTAAGTCCTCTATTTATTCCTTGTTTCAGCGTTAAAGATCATATGCATCAGTCAACATGAAATACTTTTGATAATCCAATTTATATTTTACATCCCGGTTGACCAGTTCAGCTCAAATGATGGAGCTATGTCAAGGAACTGTAGAAGCTCAGCAAAGTAGTTCTTGGTTTACTAGAAACCAAGCTGTGGTAGAATCTTTCATTGCTTCAACCGCTAATGAAAATAGAGAAATGGCAACACACCAAGGAAAATTATGGTTAGCCAGGTGATTAAAATAGAAGCTGCTATTTGCACATGATCTTTAATGTTCCAAGATTTAAAAGTTCGTTTTGGTTTGTAGATTTCACTAATAGCTATAAAAGAAAAAAAGCAAGCATTAAATCTTAAAGAACGAACACTTAAAATGAGGTCCACAATTGATATACAACACTAAACAGAAGGCCAAAAATGATTAAGCTGTAAAGGCATTTATGCACTTTAACTCCTGTAAAAAACCATTTTAAGTTAAGTTAAGACACTTAAATCTTCAAAGATTTTTAAAAAGAAGCCAAAGTCTGAAGTTTTCCACTTTAATCTTTACGCTGGTACATGAAGTTGGAAGAGACCATACCACAGGACAGCGTTTTCTGGTGTATGCCTTGCGCTCTGCCTGCAACGTGCGACCCCCAGAGATAGACGTGGTCAGGGTGACACACGGCCTGCAAGGAAGTTCCCGCTGGCGGGTACAAACAAGGTATAATGTCAGAGTTAGAAGACAACAATCTTGTTTTGCTTAAGTTGTACCCATTTCAGTACTTTACCTGTTGGTTAACACTTCTATTAAGTTTAATTATTCGTCTACACCACCTGGCACACAAAAATGTAAACAGAAAAACTCTTATGTTTCTCTGACATACTAAGGACGACGAATCACCTTTTACAGAGTTAAAGATCTATAGACACTTAAAAAACAGAAAGTTTAACAAACATTCACACGTTTTAATTTTTTTTAAAAAAAAACAAGCTATCCAAGAGAAGTGATTTTTAAAAAAATTTATTTGTCTATTGATCTTTAAATTAGATTAGACATATGAGAGGTGACACATTCACCCAATACACACCTGTTTCTTCCCAAGTATTTCTTTAATATGGCTGGTAGTTGTTTTGGTGATTACCGCCACCTCGGGATGCCTTTCCGTATGTGCTTTGCTGTCCTATTCCAAGAGAGAATATTGGCAGTTTTGGGAACCGTAAGATACTGCAGGTTGGTTTGACAAAAAGGCACTCTTGTCAAGCTAGACCTGACTATTTAAATGCAAAAAAAAAAAATTCTGTAATACTCCTACACTGATATCAACAACGTTAATGAATATTCTACCTTTACTATTATAAAAAGCATCTCAGAATATTGACTTCAGACAATTTTTAAAATTATTTGGTCTCAATGATTTGCAATAAACTCAAAATCAAGACATTAAACAGTTCAATTAACATAGTTAAAAATTAAAGAAGGTAAAGGTTTGCTGTCCAGGCATGTCCGATTCTAAAGCATGGTGCTTGTTCTCTGTTTCTTGGCAGAGAACCAGCTTTATCTGAAGACAATTTCCCTGGTCATCTGGCCAGCATGGCTATACGCCACAGGAGCACGGAACACTGTTACCATCCCATCAAAGTGATACCTATTTATCTACTCGCATTTGCATGCTTTCAAACTGCTAGATAGACAGGAGCTGAAGCAAATAACAGACGTTCACCCCCTTGCATGGGGCTTGGGCTGTCAGCTCTCCAGTTGACAAGCTCAGCGTCTTCAACTACTCAGCTTTTGGGCCCCAGTTAAAAAGGTGTTCAAAAAAACTGAACTTTTAAATGCTTCTTTGAAAAGCTAATAAAATTGTTAAGATTTTCCTAACTCTGCAGGGAATGCTTTCAAAAAACATGTGCAACAGTACCAGCTCCTCCTAGAAAGTTGTCTCAAAGGTTGGATGAGAAGCGAAACACCTTCAAAAGAAAAAACAAGAAAGTCCAGTTGCCTCCTGAAAAAAGCATCTTTGGGACAACCATGACCTGGATGACTGAGAATCTCTACAGACTGGAAAGAGAAACTGAATAGAAAAGTTAAAAGTAACAATATAATTGAATGGAAAGTCAAATGAAAATCTTACCACTGTAGTCAGGATATCCCTGGCCGTAGCCGTAACCTGGGTAATTGTACCCAGAATAATCGTATCCCCCATAGCTGCTGTAGCTTTGATCACTGTAAGGACTGTTGTAACTTCCATATCCTTGATCATAGTAATTGTTATACCCTTGATTCCAATTTTGTCCTTGACCTAAAAATAAAACGATTGCAACATTAAAAGCCCACCATGTGTTTAAATTAATAAACAATAAGTTGTTATATAGGATAAAATCTACAAAATATTTGCTTTGTTCCTTTCTAACCTAGTTTCCAGTCTGATATCCCAAAGCTTATTTAATACTAGCCCTATTCCTTTTACAAGACAAGCTAGGAACGTACTTTTCCTTTACGCTAAAACTGAGGGAATTTTTCGCAGTTTTTCTCAAGCTTATTTCATGAGTGACTTCTGCCCTTAAGTTACAATTTACCACACTTACCCCTGCCACGTCCTCTGGATCCCCCACGCCCACCAGATGAAGCACCTCTGCCTCCCTTTTGTTGCTGTTGCTGCTGCCTATATACATCTTTGGGCTGTGCTACTTTGATCTCACACTAGGACAAAAGAAAGTAAGTGTAATTTTAATGCAAAATATATGAAGAATATATGAAGTTAATTGTTGCAGCTTCTCCAAGTAACACGTTGCAAATACCTTGCCAGAACCAATCTGATGGTATCTGCTTTCCAGCAATTTCTTTACTGGTTCTTCATCTGAGTATGTGATGAAGCAGAAACCTCTCCTTTCATTTGTTTTTGTGTCCATGGGAAGCTCTATATTCTCAATCTGCAAAGCCACATTAAAAACAATCAAAGAGTATTCACTTGACCGAAAGTCACTTTTCTTCCTTTCTTTATGCTTTTACGGTATTGTAAACTTTAAGGAGTTGTAGTTCACACCTTTAAACCAACTCTATAAAGTTTAGCCCCTTCACTTTTGCCGTACAGCAAATCCTTTTAGAAAATAATCACAAAGACATCACCATGTTTGCATTCCTTTCCGGGTTATTTATCCTTTGATTTTCCAGTTGAGTTTAAATATATATATATATATATCATCTCTGCTCTGACAATACAATCACTATCCTTCTACAAACGACACTGGTGTATCCCAAAACCAAAGCAAATCCATTCCCAATTTTTGCAGGCTACTTGGGCTGCTGTTTCTTGATTTAGAAATTACACAAGTCAAGTTAGTCAAAAGAAAATGGTAAAAACTACTTAAGCTTATTGCAATAGGCTGTTTTTAACTAGACATTATACTGGATAACACACACACCCATTTAAATAAAGCTTTAAAAGGTTTATACCTCTCCAAATCCACCAAAATACTCCTTGATTTGTTCTTCAGAGGTATCCGGACTCAGTCCACCAACAAACACTTTTTTGGGTGGCTCCTTCCCTTTCAGAGCTTTTGCCCTTTTGGGATCTATTAACTTGCCATCCAATTTGTGTTCTTTCAATTCCAAGACCTAAAAAAGAGATTTATTGAAAATTTAGTTCCAGGTGAAAAAAATCAACACAGATGTTTGGAATTGTTTAGAGAAGATTCCATGGTCCTACAGAGGTGACTACATACCTTCTCAACACTGGCAGCGTCTTTGAAAAGCACAAACCCAAACCCTCTTGACCTCCCCGTGACAGGATCTGTTTTTATTGTGCAATCCACCACTTCACCAAAGCGAGACAAATACTCTGTCAAGTCTTTTTTGCTCGTATCCCAGCTCAGACCACCAATGAACATTTTACTGCAATGGAAAAGAAGTTTCAAAAACTGTAATTCATACAAAGAGTTATACATATTGTTCTAAAAAACTTATTAGCTAATTTTCCCCAATTCAGGTGTGTGTTTCAGATACAAAGTGTACTTAGGGGAAAAAAATCCAGAAACACATTTTTTAATTGAAACAGAAGGGGGGGGGGGGAAAATCGTCCAGATTGTCATCCTCCATCCTATCACAAAACAAGCAATTGTCATACAGAAGTTAATCTTCTCCAACATTTACAAAACATGTAAATGACCCACAGTATCACCTAAACCAGGTGAAGGGAGGGGTCAACTGTCCAACAATCCCAAATAGTTTATTGCATATGCTAGGTATGCAATACATTTTGAACATAACCAACTATTTTAAGCAAAAAAGCAAAACAAAACAGAAAGTGACTTCAGCCATTCTGGAAATATTCCAAATTCAAAACAGTCCCACAATTCAACCATTTTCAAAATAGGGTGGTAAAACTTATGAAACAAAATGATAGTACTTAGTGTAGTTAGATGTAATTAGAACAGTACAGGCATACTTCTGATACATATCAAAATATCACTTTTTGAACTCTAATAACCTTACTTGAATAAAGTACTGAAATTAGGTTTTTGAAATTTCTGCATGTCTCTACTAAATATGACTGCAAGGAACATAATCTCAAATACTATCCCCTTATGATAATTAACATTAAAAATTAAGAGCATATCTTTATATATTCTGAAATTATGGCCAGCTATTCTCAGCTCCATAGAAAAAATTTGCAGCATATTTATTGAAAAGGTTAATGGATTGCAGTGGGATTTTTTTCCTAAAACGAAAGCCTGAATCAAAGCAGTGCAGTGAAGTAACAAAACTATAGTACTTAGTGTAGTTAGATGTAATCAGAGATCAAGGAAAGTATCTGGATTACTTCAATATTGTTGAAAAAAGATGAAGTATAACAACAATATAACAGATTCCAAGGTAGGTGGTAATCATATCTTCCTATAAAATACAGAATACTTATGAACTGTTACAAACTCCAAATTCAAAGATATTTTGCTAATTATCACAGCAATTCTGCTAGACACTGGATAAGCAAATCTTCCTGATGCCAGTTCAATTTCTTAATCATTACATTGCACTGTGTAAATTCTGCTTAACCATAAATGCAGGTAAGAAGTTTATGCATTTGAAGTGAAGGTTCCAAATCCTGCAGATCTCTGCCAAAGTGGCAACATTTCTTCATGAAGAGGTCAAAAAAACTGCAACAGGAAAAACCGAAAACATGTGTCTGCAAAAAGCTAAGGGAGCCACAAATTTTGCAGTGGGAAATAAATGGTAAGGTATAACTAGTATGATATTGATTTTGCTAATAGGCCACAATAGTGGCCTCAGGTTTCCTATAGAAAAATAGAACAGCAGATTCAGAGTGCAGTGCTCACTCTCTTCAAACTTTCCTATATAGAATGTCAAAGTAACACACCACTGCCTCATTTTACCTTCACAACAACCAACCATGATTTGGCTGAGGGGGCACATAACTAAGATCAGTAAGACTTCTCTTATTCCCAAGCATCAGAACCACACTGAAGCTAAGGTGGGCATCCTGAAACCCAGGAAAACCAACTATCCTATAAACACGTTCTATAAATATATACGAAAGGTGGATAGATATATCTCCTTCATAGTTGTGAAGAATGCCATTTTGTGACATTTTAAACTTGAAGCACTCAAGATTTGCACTATATTCGCCAAGGAGTTAAGGATCCTTCATCTGCACCCAAAATAACAATCCAAGCAACTTATTGCATATGTTTAAGAATACAGTCCTTTTCATCTTTTCTAGATCTATTCTGGCTTCCAAGTACTATGTACAGTTCTTTCCCTAGGCTATATATACTCTGCCCAGCACATGGCTCACTTTCTGCTATTTGCCCTCCTCCAAAATACAGGCAGTCCCCAACATCTAACCATTCATTTAATGACCAAAGTTGCAACAGCACTGAAAAAGTGACTTTAGATGGTTTTCCATACAAAAAAGGTCAAATTTCAGACTCTTGGCAAGTGGTATGTATTTATGATGGTTGTAGTGCCCCAGACATGTGATCAACTTTTGTGGCTTTTTGTCAAGCAAAAATAGGAAAACCAGATTCACTTAACTGCAATTATTAACTTAACCGCCTTGGTTTACTTAGCTGTGGGCAGGGAAGGTTGTAAAATGAGGCAAAGCCCATCTGTCTTGCTTAGCAACAGATGTTTTGGGCTCAATTGTGGTCGTAAATCAAGGACTACCTGTAACTACTTTAAAAGACATTCCCCCCTCCAATCATCTTCTAGACTGGTCTCAAATTTGGCAACTTTAAAGACATACGGCCTTCAACTCCCCTTAATTCCCTAGCCAGCAATGCTACGAGTTGAAAAACAGAGATTTTAAAGATTTTTTCTCATCCCGATGTGATCGAAGTGCGTTGGACTGCATCTCAGCCGAGAATGATAAAAACCATAACATATCTAGAGAACATACAGCTCCCCTGCAACTACCAACCCTGCAGCAAGGAGGGTGGCAATAAAAATGACTCCCGATCTGAAATATTGAAAGTTAAAAATGAATCCTGATCTGAAAAAGATCGTCCTGGGGAGAATCGGACCCAAGATCACTCTTAAAAGGAAAGTATAAAATATAACTAAAAATAAAATACATCGTGGGCCAGCCACGCTTTTAGCCCGCAGGGGAAGGAAGGCGCAGAAGCGAAGCCCCATAAGGATCTTGCGGCGACGGCCTCGCCCCGCCCACAATGCACCTTCTTGCTAACTCCGCCCCCTTTCCTTCCCCCCACTTCCAAATGTTGCAAGGTTTTGAGTTCGCCCTGCCCATCCGACGGGGCCAGCAACGCGCATTCTCAGACCGCTTAGGACCCGCCTCCCCACCCAGGCCCGCCCACTGTGTTCCTATAGGCTGCCGGTTGCATCACGAGGCAACGATCAACCCCCCCCACCCCGCCGCTCCACCCATTCGGACGTGGAAACTCTCGCGAGAGGCGATGTGTGGGGGGGGGGGTTTGAAAAGACACAAAGGGAAATTACAGCGGCGGGAGGTGCAACGCTCACCAGGGAAGAGCGCGATCACGTGGCAGCTGCCAGGCAAAAGGCCTTGCTGAGTGATTTACCCCCCCCGTTACTTTTTTTTTTTTTTTAAACAGGCCAAAATGGCGCCAGACCTATCGACTCGCTCTCCTCCCCCTCCCTTGTTTGTCAAAGGTGCCTCTTGCCCCACCCGCCGGTTGGGATCGATTCCCCTCGTACCCGTCATCCTGCTGGTTTTTGCTGGCGTTGATCTTGGAGCCTTCGGCGAACTCTTCCTGTCCACCGCCGCCACCGCCGCCGGAGGTTGTGTTGTTGTTATTGCTACTGCCGTAGTCGGTGTTCTCCTCCATAGCGGGAACGGGCCGAACGGGGGGAAAGGAAAGGGAAAAAAAAAGCGCGCGCACACCGACGCAAAGGAAAGAGATTGACTACTACGCGGTGCGACCCGAGTATTAAAATGGCGGCCGTAACAAGAGATCCGGGCAGAGCCTGCGCTGCGTTTATATAGGGACCCCCTCGACCAATCAGGGCGCCCCAAAGGCGCAGGCGCAATGCGGCTTCTGAAGGAAGGTGGGTGGGTGGGTGGAGGAGTGTCGGGGTTGCCCGTGGCGGAAGGGCAGCGGGGGAGGCGGGGAAGCGCTTTCCTGTCTCGGGGAGTTCAACACGCCCCTGCAAGGGTTCCCGGTTCCTCTGCAACGGGAACTTTGTCCCTTTTCCAATAGTTTCCTGAAGCCTCCGTTGCAACCAAGCGACAAAATGTGACAAAAGCACGAGCGAAGCATGGCTTGCCTCAGGAATCCCCCCTCAAAACACCTATATACACAGATGAATCCCCTTCAAAACACACATGTGCAGGCCTGGGAGCGGATAAGCGACCGCCCACGTGCGCAGGTCGTAACTTGTGAACACCACGCCGGTTTAACGGGGCCCTTGCGATGGGCTGCCTTGACGAGCTGAAGGGCTACGGGGCTCAAAAATCGGATTTTCCCACCCCGTCCTTAGAATCTTTTCTTAAATTAGGCTCTGCAGGGAGAAGCATCTGGTCTTAAAGCGTTTGCCTTCATTCCTAAGAAGCCTCAAGTCTTAAAATGCAGGGCTGGTTTATCTCTTCATATTTTTCTTTCTGCATTATTTTTGCCTCCCACTTTTTTTTAAAAAAAAATCAAAAACTCTTGTTGAAGGAGCCCTTGCAATCTCAAAGCTTTTTTGTTTATTTGGGTTTTGTACAGAAACTGTCTAACCCTTGCTAATTTTCTCATGTTATTGGTTCAAGGTGGAATTATTTGGCAGGTACTTTATGAACTGTTGCCTTCTGGCAGAAGATACAGAACAATTAAAACTCGGACCACACGTTTTTCTGAACAGTTTTTATCCCAGAGCTATAATTGCACTTAATAAGGAACTTAAGGACCACAATCAATGAGCTGTTGATATTGGGGTGTGTCGCACGCGCAGGCATGTTGGGTCTGGTCTTTGGGTGTTAAGTGAATTTTGTTGTATATATACTGTGTATATATGTACAATGACAATAAAGAATTCAATTTAATTCTTACAGTATTTACTCTAGGATGCATTTTCTATCTCTTGTCCAGGGCTCTTTTTTTTTCTTTTCTATAATCAGATTGCATGCTTTATTTGCAATTGTAGGCATATTAAAAAGGACATCTTATTTTTAAAGTATAATGAAGAACATCACAGCCCAAGTGTTAGGATGCGTCTCCTAATTTTAATTTTTTTTAAAAAAAAATTAAAGGTTTACTTTGCATCTATTCTGACATTTCCAAATAATAAAATAAAAATCTTTGAAAATATGTGTATCTGCTTTGAACTTTTTATATGTACTGAAAAATAATTTTATTCCAACAAAAATTTTCCAAATGATTAAATGTTAATGGGTTAAATTAAACTAAAGTTAATCTGCTTTTATTACACACTTGTATTAGCTTTTAAACTATTTCTGCTCTATGTGGCTGACGTAACAAAGGGAGGAGGAAAAACTAGTCTGCATTATATTCTATAATACGAGTTGGCTATCTTTCACACATAACTGTTTTCCTTGGAAAATTGAGTGAGACATTCCCCTTACAAAACTGATGGAAAACCCATACCTCTGGAGAGAATATTTAGAAGAGAATGTCATCTCTAAATAGGAGTATAAAAGAATAATTGGGTATAAAATATTAGTGGACACAATTTGTGGTTGGAACTAAGGCAGCCTGTGCTTTGGAAGCAGACAGCAATTTTTTTCTAAAATATTAATAATTAAATTTGTAAGCTGCTTGATTCTCAACTACTCTGGGCACCTCACAATCAAATCAGAGTAAAATATGAAAATAAAACATTGTTTAAAACGGTGAGAACAGACGAAATGAAATTAGAAAAATAGACGTATATAGTCTAATCAGGGAATATGAGTCACATTTTTTTAATGGATCTCCAATTTCTTAAGCAAACTTAACAAAAGAGAAGGTAAACTGGTGCTAAGGTTTGCATTCTCTAGAGCCATTTCTGTACTCCCATGGTTTCCAAATGTTGGATTTAATTTCCCTCATCCCCAGGCAATTCTAGATCCAGCCTACATGGCAAGGCTCATCCACATTTCTATGGTCCATAATGGGAGAAGTCCGTTCTAGAAAAGGCATACAAAATGCATGGAGCCACACCGAAGTAAAATCATCAATACCTGTTTTTTTTTAGTCAAACTGTTGATGTCTTTTGAAGATTACAAAAACTGAATCACATCACTGGTAGCTGTTCTAACCAAGGCTTCCTGAGACAGTAACAATCACATGCTATTCCCAAAACCCTTTAATTTCAACAGCTGTGAATTATATGAATTCACAGCCTGTAATGAGTCCCAGTTTATGAATAGTCCAACAGAAGTCTGCCACAGTCTTCCGGGATAAGGCTGATAAGCACCCACCTTTATCTCCCTTGAAATGCTGCCAATGACTAAATTGCCAATTAGCTAGACAAGGCCAAACGGAGCACAAAGTCGAGCTTCAGAGTTTAAACCGACCAGAATGAGCAAAGTTGCTTCCTGCAAAGACTCATGTCCCTTTGTTCATCCTTTATATCTTATGGGAGGGGCTAATTGTCTCCCAGCTTTACCCCCGAGTCTCACCTTGTCTTAACTATTCTTGCCTTCTGGCAGCTCTGCGCAAACGCACACTGGGAACAGGCTCCCCTTGTTCCTCTGCCTCACTGGTTAGATTCTGGAGGCTCCGGAGTCAGCACATAACTCTCAGATGGCCTGGCCCCATCTCTGTGTCAGACGCAGATCCCTCATCCGAGCCCTCCCCAGACTCCAGGACTGGCCCATGTTCCTCCGCACTGTCCAACTCTGCTGCCAGTTCCACAGGCTGCCGGAAGACCACAACAGTAGCTGCAAATATCACATTTATTAAACTTACAAAGGTTATAGCGGAAGGTAATGCATCATGATTAAGGGAAGCTGAAATAAATCACCATAGAGAGGCTCAATATTAGAAATAACAACTGAGCCCCCCCCCCCCCCCCCATGCAAAAGCAGTGCATCTTAATGTCTGGTCCATACCACTAAAAAAAAAAGAGGTAAAACACTTTGCCCTTATGCCTTTGGGGCTTCCCAAAGCTAGATCATACCTTCCCAATAGTTAGATCATACCTAGGAAAACAACGGTCTTCAATCTACCACCAGGACGGGTAATCCTCAGCTTACAACCACAACCGAGCCCAAATTTTCTGTTGCTAAGCAAAACAGTGAAGTAAATTTTGCTCAATTTTACAACTTTTCTTATCACAGCTTTTAAGTGAACCACTGAAGTTGCTAAGTTAGTAATAGCATTGTAAAATGAAGTTGGCTTCCCCATTGACTTTGCTTGTCGGAAGTTTGCAAAAGGTGGATCCCACGACCCCAGGACACTGCAACGGTCGTAAGTATGAACCAGTTGCCAAGCGTCCGAATTTGGATCATGGGACCTGGGGATGGTGCAAATGTGTGAAAAAGTCAGGTCATTTTTTAAAGTGTCACTGTTAACTTGGAATGGTCACTAAAACAAATGGTTTTAAGTAGGCTACTGCTCCTAGGCACATTTGAAAACTGAAAGACATGCTGGGGGAAGGGACTCGGTGCTATAAGGCTGGCGCTGTTCTTTTACCAATCAATTAGAGTAGAGCTGAAAGGGACTTTGGAGGTCTTCTAGTCTAGCCCCAATCAAGCAGGAGGACCTATACCATTTCAGACAAGTGACTGTCCAGTCTTTTCTTAAAAACCTCCAGTGATGAAGCACCCTGTTCACAATCTGGAATTAAGTTTCTCCTCAATTCCATATTGCTTCTCTCCTTGATTAGTTTCCATCCATTGCTTCTTATTTTCTGTGCTCTGGAAAATAAATGGGACCCCCTCTCTTTGTGGCAGCCTCTCAAATACTAGAACACTGTTGTCAAGTCCCCCGCTGGTCCTCCTTTTCTTTAGATTAGCCATACCCAATTCTTACAACCATTCTTCCTATGTTTTAAGTCTCCAGGCCCTTAATCATCTTATCTGCTCTTTGCACTTTTTCCAAAGTCTCAACCTCTTTTTTGCAACCTGGTGACCAAAACTGGGTGTGCTATTCCAGGTATGGCTTTACTTAGGCTTTATAAAGCAGTACTAATACTTTTTGATTCTATGCCTCTGTTTATACAACCAAGGATTGCATTATATACAATTATATATTTAAAAAAAACACAGTGGCAGGCACAACTTCTTCAAAAGGCTCCATCCACAAAAGTGAAACTGGCTTTCAGTTATTTAGTGTATCCAACCATCTCCTGTTCATTTTTTTGTCCCTTTTGAGCAGCTGGGCATCTTTTCAAACCGACAAGAGATGGTCCACTGGCAATCATGATAGGTTTGCAGGAAATGGGACAACCCTCCTGAAGGGGAATCAGAATGAGTTTAAGATGCCACCCTAAAAACAGGCACCTTTACTTTTAACCCACAGTGAAGTATTTCAGTATTACTGTACCTTTTTAAAAGAAAGGAAAGAATTTAGAGTTTAAAATAGCCTTCCCTGCACATCCACAAAATGTTTGCTTTAGATATTTTAGATTCGGAAGAATTGCAAGACAAATCAGAAGGCCAGGTTTAAAATATGCCCAGGGAAGCCTCCAGTTCTTTTCTAAAAAAAATATTTTTATTGTATATTTTCCTTTATTATACATCGTATTTCCAGTTTTGCAACGGCAGTGTATTCACTATATCAAATTCTTTTTAAATATACATCGTATTATACACCCTGGTTATAACCACTATTCTCATAGTCATGTAGAGTATAGACTCTTTTAATTGCATAGTATTGCACGTCATAATTATAACTATCGTTCTTATCCCCTTAAAAGGCTGACGTCAGTTTTCTAAGCTCTTCCAAGTGAGCAGGACCAATTTTGCACCCGTGCAACGCGATCCCCGGGGAAGCGGCCAAGCCCGGCCATTCCACGAGCAACTTTGCAAGCAAATGCGAGAAAGCAGGCGCCGGCTCCGCAGCACGCAGAGGCCTTCGCCCCCCCGGGCTCGATCCATTTTGCACATATATATACACGCATGCATTGCACACGCACTGGGAAAATGGCCGCTCGCCTTACACAACATGGTCGTTTGGGGCGTGCACGTCCACGCGCGGGTTCTTCCCTTTACACCGAGTTTCGGGAAAGCTTCGAGTGCCTTTTTTCTCTTAAGCACGAGTCTAACTCAGAGACGATCCAGGGCCACGGCAGCGTTTTGCACACCCATTTCACCCTGCAAATAGACACATACACACACACACCGAAATCGTCGTTTCCTGGCGCGGCAAGGTTGGCAGGGGTGACCCTTTTTTTTTTCTTTTTTAACTCCGCTCTTCAAACCCGAGAATTTTGCAAGCCTTTTTTTCCTGGCCTCCAATACCAAGCGCGAAGGAACCGATCCCTCTCCCGCGCAACTTCCTCCTTGGACGCGGGGAAAAAAAACCAACACCCTCGCACCTCCGCTTGATTTGCACCCGGGAGCCGCGTGCAAAAAGCCTTGCCACCGCGTCTCGTAGATAATCCGAGCCAAGGTGCAAAAAAAAAAAAAAACCCAAGGGAGAAGGAAGCAAACGCGCAGCGTTGCGCGCGGCTGGCACCCACCCACTTGCAACCTCCCCCTCTCCGCCCGCATAGACGATTGCGCGCGCGCACGCCCACACTTTCTCTTCCCCCACTCCCTTGCAACCTCCCACCCTCCCCCGCATAAACGGTTGCAGACCGCCCCCCAAACACACACTTACTTTCTCTTCCCCCCCTTCCCCCATTTGCAACCTCCCTTTCTCCACCCGCAGACGGTAGTAGACTACACACACATAAACATTCATTCTCTGCCCCCCACTTTCCCCGGTTTGCAATCTCCCTCTCTCCGCTTGCATAGATTGCAGATCCCGCGCACGCGCGCACACGCACACGCGCTTACTTTCTATTTCCCCCCCCTCCCCTCCTCCGTTTCTCGCCACCAATCAGAGGGCCGCGATCCTGGCCCGGGGAGGTGGTGGGGGGGCGGCTGCAGCGGCTCGGCTTCCAGCCACGTGGGCTCTCCTCCCTCCGCTCGTGCTCGCGGCAGCCGCGGCGCCGCCGTCTCGAGTCTGGAAGTCGCTTTGCCGGCAACGGCGGCTGCTGCCCAACCCCGATTCCCAGGGAATTGCACCGATTGCGTCTGTTCTCCCCGACCCTCCCGTCTGGGACCACCTCCCAGCCAAAAAAAAACACCACCGTCCGGGAGGAGATCGCGGGACCCGGCGGAGCTCGGCTTCTCAAGCTTCCACACCGGGGACATGGTGGGCTTCACGGTCCCCGCGGAAGTCAGCGCGTTTTTGCTCGATATAGAAGGCACCACCACTCCCATCACCTTTGTCAAGGTGAGTTGTGGGCGCCGCCCCCCACTTCCCTGAGGTGGGAATGTGGGAGTTGCGTACGTTGCGATCCTCAGGCTTGTAGAAAAGGGGTGGGTGGGTTTTTGGGGGGTGGGTGTATGTATGTATGTATGTATGTATTGCAAAAAGCCCTGCTTAGCAGTCGCCTTTTGCCTAAAAACGGAACGCGCGTGGGAATTGGGTGCGGATTTCCTCCTCTCGTCTGGCCCTTTTTTAAAAAAAAAAAAAGAATAACGTGAGGATTGCCGCCCTCCTCCACGCGTGTTGATCACCCAGCCAGGTTTAGGGTCTTGGGGAAGATGCTGCATTAGGAAACACCTCCCCGCTCCCTCCAAGCAGCAGGCTCTGAATTCCGGTCCTTAAGCCAGGGGTCTTCAAACTTGACAGCTTTAAGACTTGCGGATTTCAACTCCCAGAATCCCTCCTCCAGTCATGTTAGCTCAGGAATTCTGGGAGTTGAAGTCCTCAAGTCTTTAACTTGCCAAGTTTGAAGACCCTTGAGTTAGAATTTAGAATCAGTCGCTCAGCCCAGCCTACTTTGCAGGGTTGTTTTGGGGGGGAAGGAGTGTTAGTACTGAGCATTGAGTGCAACAGAAATCAAGGCAGGGTGGAAATTGTTCCTGTGTGTTGGTATTTCCTGTGGTTTGGATGAGAGTGACAGTGTAAAACAGTGTCTCCCAAATGTTGGCAACTTTTGAAGATGGGTGGACTTCAACTCCCAGAATTCCCAACCAGAAACACTACTATCTGGGGAATTCTGGGAGTTGAAGTCCATAAGTCTTAAAAAGTTGCCAACATTTGGGAGACACTGTCTGGGAGTTGAAGTCCACCCATCTTAAAGTTGCCAACATTAGAAACACTGTTGTAGGATATAGAATAGAACAGGGCTCTCCAAATTTGGCAACTTTAAGACTTAGGGACTTCCAACTCTCAGAATTCCCCAGACAGCATGGCTGGCTTGGGAATTCTGGAAGTTGAAGTCCACAAGTCCTGAAGTTGCCAAGTTGGAGAGCCCTGGAATAGAATAACAGAGTTGGAAGGGACCTTGGAGGTCTTCTAGTCCAACCCCCTGCTTCGGCAGGAAACCCTAACCCCATCAGACAAATGGCTATCCCAACTCTTCTTAAAATCTTCTGGTGTTGAAACATTCACAGTGTTTTTTTAAGTGGATTTTTAAAGTTTTTTAAAGCGGAGACAGTATTAATTCTTTCTTATCTCTGTACGAAAGTGCTGGGTTGGGTGTGGGCATGTTTTTGTGTAAAGCTCTTCTGACATAGGAAGGAAATTGATTCAAGTTCCTGACAAAAAGATGACTGTTCAGTAGCTTTTATTCAAGGGAAAGTAGAATTTGGTGGGTCATGTGGTTTTAATAAAAAAAAACTTATCTTTTGTGTTACTTACTGTAAAGATTACTTTTTAAACCTCATATTGGCCATGCAATTGAATGTTTGCTGATAATCTATATACTAATCTCTGCAAAATTTGGCTGGACTAAAAAGAGGGGATATGATTTTATGTGGTGTGTTAAGGTGAAACCAGCCAACTCTGAGACATTTAGTAAAGCATTATTAAATAATAGCTTTGTGCAATTTGGTCTGAGACTAAGCCAATGTTGTTGCATTGCCATGGAAAAGAAATGATTAAATTATGTTTTATATCTGTCTTTTTTTGTCCACAACATCAATCTTGAGAGATAAGTTGGACTGACAGAGGGCGACTTCTATGCCCGTGGGTAGATTTGAACCTGGATTTCTCCAATACCAGTCTTAACTGCATTGGCTTTTCAAGTACCACAACAGCCTAGTGCAGTAGCGGCTAACCTTTTGGGCTCCTGTGACAAAAAATTGTATGTGTGCTCTCACACTCGCATGCCAGCACCCAGAAGGCAATGCGCATCCCCCCATTCCCCTAAAATGAGTGTGCAATCCCCCGCCGCTTGCACTGCGCCTCACAGCTGATTTTCGGCCTCTCAAAGGCTTGAGGAAGGCTTTGCAGGCCAAAAACTAGCCCCATGTCGTCACTTCCAGTATTTTTGGAAAAACAGGGAGTGACGAAACGGGGCTAGTTTTCAGCCTGCACAAGCCTTCTTCAAGCCTTTGGGAGGCTGAAAAAGGCCTCAAACCCGCCAAAAATCAGCTGTGAGGTACGCACATGCGCAATGAGGTAAGTTTGCTTGCAGGTCACGTCCCCGCACAAATGGCTCTGCGTGCCACTTGTGGCATGTGTGCCACAGGTTCACCATCACAGGCCTAGTGCATTTTTATTGGGCAGTATATTGCAGTGCCTTTATGGGATTGTTACCATGGAAAGACAGGAAAATATAATAACTAGGAATCTGTCTTCTGATTAGAGTGGGCCTTTCTTCCAATACAGGTAGTCCTCAACTTACAACCACAATTGAGCCCAGAATTTATGTTGCTAAGCGAGATATTTCTTAAGTGAGTTTTACCCCATTTTACAACCTTTCTTGCCACAGTTGTTAAGTGAATTATTGCAGTTGTTAGTAACATGGTTATTAAATGAATCTGATTTATCCATTGACTTAGCTTGTCAGAAGATCACAAAAGAGGATCACATGATCTCGGAACATTGCAGGCATCATAAATGGGAGACAGCTGCTCACAGTCTGAATTTTAATCAAATGACCCTGGGGATGCTGTAACAGTCGTAAGTGTGAAAAAGGGTCATAGGTCATTCCCCCCCCCATGACATAACTTTGAACAGCCGCTAAATGAATTGTAACTACCTGTAGTATTCTAAGGGATCTGCTGTTATTTTCTTTCCAGGGTCTGCAAAGTATGCAGCCTTTTCACTTTGCACATACTCTGAAAAGTACCCCCCCTTTTTTTTTAATGACCCATAATCCCTTGCATCGGGGTGGAGTCAAGTCAACTGAATGAAGCTGAGTGTTTACTGGCCAGATGCCCTTCCTGTCGCCAATGCAGAGTTGGCAACTGATACTTACTCATTATGCCCAGAGAGATAAATATCTGCCGCTACCTAAGATCGAACTCACAACGTCCTGATTGTGAGGCGAGAGCTCCACTTCCAGGCCACTGCATCACTCACTGCAAAGTAACCCCATCCATTTAGGGGGAAAAAAAGTCACAGTAACACGCCAAAGAAATAATGACGGACTGCAGCACAATGGCATGATTGATACAGATTATGTAATGGCGGGGGGCGGGGAGGTACTGCCATGGAGCAGATACTCTAGGACCAATTGGCTGACCAGATACAACGGGAGTTAGGTGTTCCTTCATGTAACCAGGCTCTAGGCCAGGTAGGGATTAATCAGCACCTGGAAGCAAACTGGCAACCTGCGCAGCTTGCAAAGCAGAGGCGTTAACATAGGCATACCGAGGCATGGCCAATTACCGCCCACAACTGCTGCATTCTGGATCTGTTTAATCTTCCAGTTTGTCTTCATGGGCAGCCCATCTAGAGCTGGTTGCAGTAGTCAAGCCAGGAGGTTAGCAAAGTCAACGGGGAAGCAACAGATTCACTTAACAATCGTGTTACTAACTTAATCGGCTGCAGTGCTTCGCTTAACTGCTGTGGCAAGAAAGGTAAAATAGGGGCAGAATACACTTATCAAATGATTTGCTTAGCAACAGAAATTTCGGGCTCGATAATTGTGCTCATAAGTTGAGGACTACCTGGAATTGTTCCTAAATTAAAGAGATTCGTCTTTATCATCTTTCCTTCCAAAGAGTCTAGTCCACGCAAGCATCAACACAGTTGTCCAGCCTTTTGGCTTGCCTGGGCCACATTGAGTGGAGAGGAAATTGTCTTGGGCCACATACAAAATATATAGTTTGTGTGTGTGTGTGTACATCTTTTATTTTTTACATTTTATATCTTCTGTGACTGCATCACTAGCTCTCCAGGGTCTTATGTAGCCTATGGGCCACAAGTTGTTCTTGTCTGATTTAGAGTTTCTGGATGAGAAGGCCTATTGGCATGGAATTTATTTCAAAGGAACTTGCTATAGAGGATGAATCATGTTTCTGTCCCTGAAGACTGGTACGTTGTCTTAAATACACATCCCCAATGACCCCCAAATATCTATGGAGATTCTCGGTTGTCCAGATCGTGGTTGTCCCAAAGGTGCTTTTTCAAGAGGCAACAGGACTTCCTGGTGTTTCTTTGAAGATGTTTCGTTTCTCATCCAAAAGAAGTTGAGACCTGAAGAAGCTTCTTGGATGAAAAGCAAAATGTCAGATAACAGATTATTTGTTGGAAGGGACCTTATAGGTCATCTAGTCCACCACCACCCCCCGCCCAAGCGGGAGACCTTACACCATTTCTGACAAATGGCAGTCCAATCTCTTCTTGAATGTCTCAAGTGATGAAGCTCCCACAATTTCCGAAGGCAACTTCTGTTCCATCGGTTGATTGTTCTCACTGTCAGAAAGTTTCTCCTTATTTCCAGGTTAAATCTCTCCTTGTTCAGTTTCCATCCATTATTCCTTGTCTGGCCTTTGGGTGCCTTGATAAATAGCTTGACCCCTTCCTCTCTGTGGCAGCCCTCAAATATTGGAAGACTGCTATCCTGTCTCCCCTGGTCCTTCTCTTCACCAGACTAGCCATTCCCAGTTCCTGTAACCGTTCTTCATATGTTTTAGTCTCCAGTCCCCTAATCATCCTGGTTGTTCTTCTCTGCACTTTTTCTAGAGTTTCAACATCTTTTTTATAATGCGGTGACCAAAACTGGATGCAGTATTCGAGGTGTGGTGTTATTAGGGTTTTATAGAGTGGTATTAGTACCTCCCTTGATCTTTATTGTATCCCTCTGTTAATGCAACTTAGGATTGCATTAGCTTTTGGGGCTGCTGCTGCACATGTCTTCAAAGAAAAACCCGAAAGTCCTATTGCCTCTTGAAAAAAAACACCTTCGGGATCGACCCCCAAAGTCCTTTTTGCTGCAATCCAATGCATGACTAGGTCATTGGCACAATTAGTCAAGCAGAGATAGAAGTTATCACTTTGGGTTGCCCAAAATTGGGCTTTGTTTCAATTGACCTTCCTTAATAACTTTAAGAAGGTCTCTTCTATAGAATTAATTTTCCTCACGATTTACTTTTCAAGCACCAGCAGCCAACCTTAACCTACGTTACTTATTTAACATGAAGGTCACATCATGGTCACTTAGCAAGCCCAGTAGACCTGGACATGGAGATCTGGCAGACATGATCAATCTCAGTGTTAACGTAGTTCTATCTCATACGGACGTTCCTCAAATTATAGGCTTTTTTATGTTTAAGAATAGCACTTGCAGTTGCTGATTCAGCATTTAATTGTGCAGCTAATTGAAAGGCACACGGTCTGCTGGAACAGATAGATATATCTATCTATCTATCTATCTATCTATCTATCTATCTATCTATCTATCTATCTAAATGAACGCCTGTAAGTCAAGGACTTCCTGTATGCCAATGATGTGAGAGATTCCTCCTTCCTGATATATCAGGAAGGA